ATTGAAATCTAACTTGAGTAATGGAGCTTTAGACAGAGAAGATCTTACAGTTAGCATCACAACCCCAGGGAATATTGATGACAACAGCTGCAAAGTCTCAATATACTAAAGGCAATATTTTATTTTTTACCAAAATGCCATACGAGGAATAATGATAGTGATTAATTTTACTAATATATTCTAAAAAGGTATAAGAAATTCTTTGAAGAGTTTCAGATCCTTTACCAACAGTGTGCAGTAATTTGCATTTTATTTTGGAATACATTTTAGACCAGATGGCATTTCTAGTGTTTTATGATACCAAATATTTACCATAGAAGCAGTAAAATATCTTTGGTGTAAATTTGAAAACTGAACTGACAGAAAAGAAGCATGAATTTGTCAGAAACTGAACTTTTAATTGGGTTTTACTTTTAGATTGAATACTTGTATAAAGACGGTTTTATTGCGGCGGCCTCCAGTTTAACCTCCCATTAAGAGTTGCATGACAAACCGTAAATCTGTCTAATACAATATTAGGAAATAGCAAGAAAAATGGTGGGATATCTTTCATACAAAATAAGGAAATAAAGAACTAAAACAGGAAAGCAAGGAAACGATACAATGTGAGAGTGGGATTTATTGGCTGTAGTCCAGCAGTAGCTTATCCCTGGTTATATGTAGGGCCATTTGTGGAGTATAAAAGGTTAGCTCGCGGTGTGTTCATGTTTCAGAGGAGGATTTGCTGCCCTGACACTGCCTGTATATTGGATACATGCATTACTGTCAGCTGACCTGCTCTCCTCCTTCACATGAATTATCACTGTGACCCCAGGGCCATTACAGCAGAATTATACTGAAAAAATATACAGTGGAAGATGATGTTGGGGTTTGTAAATAAAAATAATTGAGTTTCAGTGTCCCATTCAGATAATGCTGTAAACAGTTTTAATAATACAGGAGAAAGGACAAGTATGTGAGATGTCAACAATCTTTCTACCTACTGACCTTTGTCCTTTGGAAAATTAAAGTTTGGAAAAATAAACTGCAGTGCAACATCTGAACACATTCAAATGCTGATCCACTAATGAATGAAGTAGGGATGGATTTTTCTGTGGGTTTTAATGAAACATTTTGCCTGTTGCCTGTGGTTAAGAACACAAAGACTGTGTTTTTGTCAAAACAAAAAATGAAGTTCAAAATGTTCAAAATTAATACAAAACAGCATATCAACAAACACCAAGATTCCATTCAATAGACTGTAGAAACTATCAAGATCTGAGGCTAAAGGATCTCCCATTATAGATACTGTGACAGTGCAAACAAAGCAGCAGGACATGTATTCAGTCCAACATGAGAAAGTAAGCCAGCCTGTGTGTACAGAGACCCCAGTGTGTGCATTCATGACACCATATTAAACCCTCTGTTCAGCCTGTTCAAAGAGCCTGTGCTGCAGCCTCTGCTTTAAGTCGAACACTGGCAGCTCTTAAGTATTATCTTCTGGCATAGCATCTGCGTTTTAATTATCACAGCCGTTTGTCAATGCCAGTGCACCTCCTCAGGAGTACATGCTCTAAATGAGACATTAAAAACATTATTTTTCACCAACCAACGCCGCACTGTCAGGTCTTTACCAATTATCCTCCATCATAAATCATCCAACCGTAGTATTAATGGACTCCAGTCATGTGATGTTCAGGGGAGACTCATACAATGCCATAGAAACCCCTGCAGAAAGGCTATGGAAACTGTACATAGAAAAAAATCTTACGATTTATTATTATGTTTAAAATCAGAACTGTGTGTGCAGATAGGCGAAATATGAAGCCTGAAATAAAGCACATTAAAGGATTACTGAAACGTACATGAATCGGCGGAAAAGTCCGAAATACAGCACAAGTTTAGGCTGAGTGAACACTATTATAACATAGTTACAAGATCATAAAAGTTGATTTTACATAATATGCCCTTTGAGGAGGATTATCTGAGGTAGTGACCCTTTAAGTCTTTAAAATATGCACAGCACATTTTCATCAAATACAGAAACCAAAATGTTCTACTGATGCCTTTATTACACTGATATGCAAACCACACTAAATAATAAAAGGGACAGAGGAAACAATATATTGTGGTGGCCTTATGGATGGTAAAGGCTCCCATGAAGTATTGGCTTGGTATTTGTTTATACAAGTATTCTGTATTCTGAAATACAGTAGCAATAAATTAAAAAAGTAATATATATGTCATAGAGATTTAGACACAAACAAAATGCTGGCCATGGCTAGAGAAAGACCGTTAAGATGAATGTGTTTTGGAGTATTTGCAGAAATCTAAGATGCAATGAATCAAAGTTAATGACAGGAGAAAAACACTACTGAATAAATAATAATTGTAAGGTAATTAAGATGCAGCGGCTAAAACAGCAGCTCAACTCCACTGTAAAAGATCCAGATTTGTCATCTCCACTATTCCCCACAGCCCTAAAGAGGAATAAGGCCTTACATGGGCATATATAACACTGGTTACGTTCATTTGTGAACACCAACTTCAGAATCTAGGTTCTGTGTTTTTACTGCTGTGTGTGGGAGGACAGTTGGCTGAAACACGTTGTGAAGCCTTTGTACAACTTTTCAATATTATGTAATTGTCTAGCAAACCAAAATGTACAGAAGGGTTTTTATGTGATTGAAAAATCTACAAAATTTACTCAAGTTCATTCATTCTACTGTGCAACTGTTTCTTCTATTGTTGCTATTACTACTAAGTCACAAAGAGATGTTTTCATTTGTGTCTGCTATATAGTTATAACCTATAACACCTGTAGATCATTATGTTAAAATGTATACATATAAAAAAATTAAAATAAAAAAAAAAAACACTGACTTCCGTGTTAGAAAACTACAGTCCCCAATGGGAGCTGATATCGCCGTAAACATCATCACAGCAAAGAGTCAGCACCTCCGATTGGATGGAAAGCTGCAGATCACGCAAGCAGCTGTTTTTTTTTTTTTTTTAAATATATACCAAAATCACAACACAACGCTGCTGAATCCTGCTCATATCACTGATTAAAACAATGAAATTGGAGAGCGAAGGAAGTACAGAGTAGTGGGCGTGTGAAAACGAGGTGAAAATGAGGATTGATCGGCAATATGGCATCTTGAAAATAAGCTATTAAAAGGGCACATATTACACTATTTTCTCATTTCGGTTATAATGTTGTTTCCTCATCACAATCAGACCTGGAGTTGTGTTTCATTCACACAAACCCTACATATTTAAGCTGAGGTCTTTTCTCAATTCCAGGCAGAGCCATAACATCTCAGAACCACCAAAGAAGTTACATATTGGATCTTTAACAAATCAAATGAACCTCTGACTCTGACACTTTACTATTCCTATACTATATTTAACTGTTAATACATATAGTGACAGAAATATGTAGAGACATGTCAAACGTGATATAATAATAGAGATAAATTGTCACAAATTACCCTTAATGGCCATTCTTTATCTGACAGTGTGTTGGATGACAATGGCTGACAGCTGAGAACTATGGGTCTATTTTAAAAGGACTCAGCCCATGTGTTGTCATCTGTAACCACTAAATATGTGGAAACAGTCAAAGTGTAATGTTAATGCTATTTGATGATTTGTGACTGAAAAAGTGTTAACAAAAGCCAACTGGTGTAAAGAATTCAGGGCTCTGTCATAAGTTTGTCCTCCTGAACCTGCTTTCAGGGCTCAACGCTTCTTTATTTGAGCCACAAATTAAATGAATATAGTGCTGTACAATTAATACATTTTTAATTCAATTTAAAATCATTATTATATGTTTCACGTGGTTTGCAGCAGAGATGGAAAACTTAAAGGTGCATTGTGGAACTGTTCCGGTGGAAGGTCCGTCAAATCTTTTTTTCGGTGGAGATGCTATTGCTTTGTCTGGAATGTTTCATAGTATGGCATTAAACCTTTCTATCTCCAAACCAGACCAAGTTACAGGTCAGATCTTTGGAGAGGCAATCCTGTTCACAGTCACACTCAGTATTTTGGATATAAAACCATCTGCAATTTAATAAATGTAAGTAGAGCTGTTTAATGCCATACTGTGGAACATTCCAGGCAGAGCAATGACATATGAACAGAAACAAGCAGGTGACGGACCCCTCAAAAAGTTACATATAGAACCTAGAGAGAGAAGCTGAGCTATTTTTGTGTAAATAATACTGATGTGTTTGACTTATTTATTTGCAAGAAAACCACATTGATAGCGATTTTTTAAAAGATCTAATAAAAATTAGCTTGACATTTTTTGTCATATTGCCCAGCCCTAATCTGTCTCACAGTTTAAAATAAATGATTTTTGGTCTTTTACTGAAAACTTGTGTTCGTATCTGAAATATCATCTTGTAGTTGTACAGAATCTGACCAGAATTGCAATCAGCTAACCAAAATTAATTTAATCATTGACATAATCCTACAATCCATCACACCAAACAAACCAACACGCAAATACTGTGGGGGAAATTTTAGTATTGGGTGTTGTTCTTTCCGTTGACCAAGTAAGAAGTGTTAAAAGCAACACTATTCTTTGTCTAATCCTTTCTCTCACAGGAAGGCTATAGGTCCGTTTGGGTCCTTCATTTACACGTCTACTGTTTATGTCACATGTTAATTGTTTGATCATCTTGACTTGTATTCAGATGCTAATGTAAAGGTGTTACCTGTCTGAGAAAAAGAAAGCCAAATGACCAGCCAGACTGACCTAAATGCAAACTGTTGGGATGGGCTTGGAAAGTATTTAAGTGCTGTTACTTGCTCTGGGCTCACTGCTGGCAGAAACTCTGTCCGTCAGTAGTGGGACTGTTTGTTGCCGGTGCAAACGTAATAAAACAACATAGACAGTCTTCTTGTATGTTTTAGTATTATTTTACAGATAAATTCCACGACACTACAGAGCTATCATGACTAATATTAACACCACAATGATGATAAATGATAAATAATGTTTTCAGACTTACCCATATGTTCCCATCTTGGTGGTAGGGTTTCCAGTTCCTCCCTGTGTCACTGTAGAGAAGCCTGTACCGCGTCGTCCAATCGGAGCTGCTGTACCTGCCCTGCGTTGCTATGGCGCTCACCTGCTTTCTCGAACCCAAGTCCACCTGTAGCCACTGGTAATGATCGCTATCGAGAGGTGACCATCCACCGGCCCCTAGACAGAAAAACACAGCTAATATAACACATTTCTTTACACTGTGATGTTTTTTATAAATAGTAAGATACAACACTAGCCAATGAGGAATCCACTTTATGGTCTTATTAGTGAGAAATGCACAGCCGGAGTTGTTGCGCGTAGCCTTTAAATTCAAGGCAGAGGAGGCAAAGATCAGCGTGGTACCAACATAATGACATTTTACAAAGGGAATATGTGGGTACAAGGTTAAGGTCCATTCTATTACTAATGGTGAGTGTCCAGCAGTGAGGTGCCTGGACATTTGCCCCAAGATACATGCTTAAATAGTCCTGCAGGAGCACTATTTTATTAAGAGCTACGCATAGAGAGATACAGCCTGTAGCTATAAACTCCACTTTACAATCATCTAATTAAAATGTCACTGCAGACACTAGAAGCATAAGAAATGGTGCCATTAGATAGTGGGTGAGTTTAAAATTCATATGCAGTGTATCAGAGCAGGAGATTCGGAATATTCAGAAGTCTATTTTGCGACATTTATACAGTCAAACCACAAGGGGATTATAACTGACTAACAAATGTACTCCTACTGGCCAGCTTAAGCTCATGTTGTCAAGGGCAACAGTAAACTGTGTGAAACAAACAGAAGGAAAAGCTGATAATGTTGTAGCTACAAAATTAAAAGTTAGCGAAGACCACAGAAGAAGGTGCATGACAAGATGGTGGTGATACAGTACAGGCGTCACAAATGTAAAGAAAAGAGAGGTAGTTTATGTTCCACAGTATGGGATTAAACTGATTTATATAGCATTTTTGTTCAGTAATTGGAAAAATACCTAGGAATCCTGCTTTCTTCTATTAGCAGGCTTCTCCACAGTTCTGACCCGTAAATTGGCCTGCTGAATTGCTTGTTGCCGTGAATATAGATTTTTTACAATGTTTATACAGTCAAACCATAAGGGGGATGATAACTAACTAACAAATGTACTTCTACTGCCCAGATCAAGCTCATGTTGTTAAGGGCAACAATAAACTGTGTGAAATCAACAGAAAAACTGACAAGAATAATGATGGAGAGACAAAATTCAAAAAATTGTGAAAATGTTAAAAAGTAGACAGCACCGGCACGCCACCTATGTGTCTCCATGGAGATGTTATTGGACTGGCTGGAACAAGTATGCTATTATCTAAAAAATATCACCATGGAAACAAGTAGATGACATTAACAGGGCAAATTACTTGTCAGATCTGGGGAGAGGAGGCACCCATTCACAGTAAGAATGCATGATTTTCAAGTCCTTTTGTTGCAATACAAATGGTTGTAACAATATGGATTCATTTAATACCATACTGTGGAACATTTTACATAAATTACTTCATATCCCCACCAGAGGAGATGAAGTAATGAATTATTGCATTTATATAGCACCTTTCAAGACACCAAAAGTGCTTCACAGTTCATTGTTCATTCACTCCACACTCAGTCATGATAAGCTACTATAGTAGCCACAGCTGCCCTGGGGCAGACTGATGGAAGCGAAGCTGCCAATTTGTGCCATCCGACTACCACCAACACTCACACACACAACTTTCTTACTAGGCAATGTAGGTGAAGTGTCTTGTCTAAGGACACAACAAGAGTTTTTTTGTGACTGGTGCCACACTCTGACACCTGGGATTCCCAGTGGTCTCCCATCCAAGTACTAACCAGGCTCGGCCTTGCTCAGGGTTTGACAAGCCGGTATGGCCACAAGCTAAATTATGAACTTTTAAATAGAACATTAGCAGATGTGAGAATGAAGTTAAATGCAAATATTCCCAGCACAGACAGACTGCTCTTGTGTGAGCCAGAGTTACATGTGATCTCCTCTAAGCCTTAACTCAGAGCATCCTTGAGCGGATCACAATGATCTGTGTGTGTAGATAAAAGCTGTTCTCGCAGGAGGATATAGGCCTCTGTTGGGTTTGTTTATTTTAAAATTTAAAACTGAAAAATGATCCTGTTTTAACCCCACCGTCAATCAAATCATCCATGTGTTTAATCCTCTGCTGTTCTCACAAGTTCAAACAAAGTTTATTAACATCACTTTTAAAATTGCTGGAGAACTGGTGCAATAGTCATTTCTGTGCATGTCTATTATTGCTTATGTTTATTTCAAGAGCAACGTTAGGTCATTCTCAATTTACACCAAAGCAAAAACAACACGTAAGCCCAGCAGTGCACCATACCTGTAGGAATCGCTTGTAATAATAATTGGCTCGACAATATTAGTAATAACAAGCCCCAGCGTGTTAAGTTTGAAAAAAGACAAAAGCCATGAAAAACATAATTAGCTAAAAAAACTGAAAAGTATAACTTCCTTATAAAAATACACAGTTCCAATGGTAAAATGTGCGTTATTTATGATTTAAGCCCACCCTGGTGCTTTTGGCTGGAGCTTTATGGTGTGCTGTGCCTCCTGGACACTCGGGGGTTAAATGAGCAGAGGAGCCCTACAGGAGACCCATTGCTGCATGTGGAGAGCGGAGAACACTGCCCAGGGCCTGCTGACCACTGCTCGTCTCCCAACTAAGAGAGAGATGAATAATACAAAGCCATGGGCGTGGGGAGCAATGAGAACTGCGCTAACTGTGGGAAACCAGAGTCTACACAGCACACAGATCTATTAAGCAGCTGTAAGCCTCCTCTAAGCTCCCTTTGGTTGGGGGTATCAACGTTTTTTGAACATGCCCTTAACGGTCTTTTCAAGGGAGTAAAGTGGTCCCAACTCTACACAGCAGGAAGTAGATAAGTAGTATGTTAAATGGGATCAATAAGGAACAACTACAATGCATTATGTTTTAAGGTGGATGTACAAGTTTAGGTAAAAAAAAAAAAAAAAAAAGGTGGACTATGTTACATGTCTAGTGAAAGGTACACCACCCGTTTTGTCTCCTGGAAATGTTAGTGCTTTTCGTGCAATGCTCCATAATAATGCATTAAACTTATCTACCTCTATCAGAGACAAACAGGAGGTGCCACTAGCCCAAGTCACTGATCAGAATGTTGAGAGGTGAGCCCACTCATGGTATAAATCTAAGAAATAACACCTCCATGGAGACAAGCAGTTGGCAAACTCTCAACCTGAAAAGTTACAAAGCACACTTAAAATCTTTAATTTTCTCAAAAATCGACCGTGCGCCTTATAATCCGGTGCGCCCTATGTATTAATTCTGGTTGTGCTTACTGACCTCGAACCGATTTTATGTGGTGCACGGTGCTCAGAAATCTGTCAAAATGTTTTAGTACGACTTTGGTAAACTACAAAGCTGCATTGCTCTATAGACTGTCGGAGCATTACGTAGTCAGAAGCCTCAAAGAGTAAGTCCAACAGAAGCTGATTGCATCAGCTATGTGGCCAAATTAGCCATGTGGCTTTAAGTTTCAATTCAGTAAAACGTAAAAAAAAAAAAAAAACGTAATGTGTCGGCTTATCAAGTGACTTCTCATGTTGCTTGTATTTCCCGAGGTGTATCGCATGGTGCATTGGCAGTGTTTGCATACTGTCTGTTGTTTGTCTGTCACCTTTTCTCCATTCTCGTTTCATGACACGACAAACCCAAAATGCTTCTAGACCTTAAAAGTGGCCGGTGCGTCCACAATGGGCACACAGGCCGATGACGCAGCCGCAAAGGATTATGATCCATGTCGTTTACGGAGCTATGCGCCATAGGAGCGAACTGAAAATTCTTATTTTTTTAAATTCTTATTAAGACACACAGTTTAATACCGTGACAAGACCACGACGATAACTTGGCAATTTTACTATGACGTAATATCGCCAATATTGTTACACCCTTAGTAAACACTATTTCTTTTCAACTAATATTTTAGGTTAAACATATGTTTAATAGTTAAATGATTGTATTTTCACTTGACACTGTGTCCAAATGCATCAGTAGCTTAGACTTTAAATGGGGTTCAGAGATATCCACTAAACCAGAGCATGAAACAGCATTGCTATACTGACTGTCATTCCCACATTTGCATCCCATGTACAGCTGAGTCTGATCTAAAAGACTGGTGACAGGACCAGAGAGGAGTCATTATCAGGAGGAGCGGGTGGTGGTGGGACTCATGTCAGGGCCGCTCTTTGATTCTGTGTAATGGGTTTTTCTTAAAGGACACAAATACAGATAAGAAAAGTGAAGGCTGAGGGAGGGTGACTGATCCGAAAATGACAGGAGAGACAGAAAAACAGGGAGGACCAATAGATATCAGGCTCTAGACATCATAAGACAGTGCGACCATCAAACTCACTGAAAAATGATACTTGTGAGATACAATTGAGGGTGAGAATGTTCAAGATGGATGCAAGTTCTTTTGGCCCCGCCTCCTCTGGTCACCATGACAAAAATCCTATATCTTATCCAATTACAGAGCCATTACACTCTAGCCCCGGCCTTGACAGATAACCAGCGCCGTATCAGTGGAAACGTCAATACCTCAAAAAGCAGCAAAGTCTATCCCTTGGGGGATAAAAGACTATCAAAGAGAAAAGAGGAGAAAAAGAAGGGAAAGGGACTCTGCGGTGAAGGAGGGGGCAACAGGGATGAGTAAACAGGCAGCTGAATATAAAGATTAGAATGTAAATGTAATGGACAATTGACATGGCAACAGACAAAAAGATCACAGAAGTAGGTGCATGACAAGACAGTGGTGGATACTACAGGTGTCACAGATGTAAAGAAAAAAGAGGAAGTTTATGTTCCAAGGTATGGCTTTATCCAGCTCATATTTTTGGTGTTTTTATAGCATTCTTCTGTTAGCCGTCTCTGCCAGAGGTGGGACCAAGTCATTGTTTTGCAAGTCTCAAGTAAGTCTCAAGTCTTTAACCTCAAGTCCGAGTAAAGTCCCAAGTCAAATACAGGCAAGTCCAAGTCAAGTCTCAAGTCACTGGCCCATAAGTCCAAGTCATCTGCTTGGAGCTTCAAGTAATTTCAAGTCTTTAAACCAAAGTACCAAATATAGCTTAGAT